ACGAACCAGCCAACCGAACGGGCTGAATAAGGGCATGTTTGGAAATTCGGTTTTAGACCCAAAACCATTGTAAATTACTGACCCAGAAATTTGCAGAGCCCGATTCAAAAAATACTGTTTGGGTGAGTTGTGAGGGCAGTCCTAATGATGTATTGATGATGGTTTCTATCCCCATTAAATGACTTGTCACGTAGGCAAAACACTGACATGGCAACGTAATTAACGAAGAAAGAGAGCAAAAATCCTAGAAATGGTTTCCTCGTGAAGAAATCAGGTCTACTCTTAACCCAATACACCAAAAAACCATGAAATCACCATTGGGGAGAAACCACCAGTTTCTAGAGGGCTCGTGCCGCACTCCCATTGGAGAAAGAAAATAGAGTTGAGAGAGAGAAAGAGAAAATAATTATCACTCATAGAAACCATGGGTTGGAAAGCAGTAATTTTTGGTGCGGTATCCTATGTTATAGAAACTACTAGTTTCTTTTATTGGGACTGCCCTTAGGTCACTTATTTTACACTTGTATTAGGCCAAAACCGGCGGAAAAAGAATGTTGTGTGACGAGATCTGAAAAAAAAATACGACAACTATCAGCCTCGTCCTCTCCAGCAACTCGCCGACTCCATGCTCGCCGGTCACCCCAAAGAAGGCACCGCTCCTCTGCATGAGCCTTGGAAGTGCATTCCATCTATGCAAAATCCAGATGCGCTGAAGGAACCTTCGAGGTCGAGCGGCAAAGGGCGGTCCTTGTGCGGCGACAGCAGGGATAGGGATCGCTTGTGTGTCGGCAGCAGGGTCGGGGTCGTTGGCGAGGTTCATGAGACGCTGGGTGGTCGTGGACGGCGACGGTTGGGGATCGTTGGTGCATCGTCGCTGGGTGGTCGGGAATCGCTGGATGATGTTCCGAACACTCTCTATCCGAACAACATTTTGGTGTAACAAATTTCAGTTGTATTCTTGTGCACTAATAATTCCAACCGGAATCTGTTTACAGGTGTAAACAATCACAAAGCATCCAAACAGTGCCTAAGGGTCCGTTTGGATGTTGGCATTGAAGGCGCTGAAATTGAATTGGTTACAATACCCAATCAGACTAGCTTTGGCAATGGGTTACTTCAAATCTATTATTTGGATGTCATGGAGTTACTAGTTGGAATATAGTGAGATGACAAATAACCATTTTTGTTTGGATGTGTATAAACCGGAATTGGACACACCTTTTCTCTCCACCCCACCACGCCCATGACAGCCCTTATCCTCATCGACGGCGGTGGCCACGCCCACCACCCAACTACTGCCCCATCTCATGGTGGGGCCTCCTGCCAACCTCATCCCTTGCTTGAGCCCGCACCCCCCCCCATCGAGCTGAGGAAGAAGATGGTGTGGGGGTTCGGAGCTAAGGAAGAAGAGAGCGAGGAGGTGTCTGGACCTCGACCGCAGCCATAAGGGCCATACCTCAATGGACGGCGGGGGGAGCTTGACCTCTGTCATGGTGGGCGGATCTTGGCAGCGGCCACCATCATCATGAGGAGGTCTCCATCATCCTCGTCGTTGGGGAGTGGGCAGAGGCGGCGGAGGGCTCCAACGAGGGGGCGAAGGACGGCGAGCGAGGCAATGGAGGGACTTGATCCGGCGAGGAGGATGGAGTGGCAGCATGAGGGGGTGGAGGGGCTCTATCCGGCGAGGAGGGCGAAGGGGCGCCTGGCGCAAGAGGGCGGCGGGGACAGCGAGGCGCTGCAGTTGGCGATGTGACGAGCGGAGCTAGAAATGCATGGAGGGGCGGAAGGCACGCATTTCTAGCCAATATATACTGAGGGTCTTGGCTCGGTATCGCATTTGGAGTGCGCTAGGTGAAGCGAATGCCACGCGGAAACGAGCCTAGTTTCCATACTCCAATGCCATGATCATCCAAACACGTGGAATTCGGGTCTACCATTTCCAATTCCAAATTCTAGGCCTCAATATTGACATCCAAATGGGGTGTAAAACATTTGGGCCCAATCCCAAGGTAGTCCAAGGTAGAAGGGACTAGCCTCTAGGTCTGCCCATGGCCCTGTTTTTTTCTCGAGCAGGTATTAGCCCGTTTTTCATCAAGCAGACATGAACCTTTTTAGTGCAAAGGTGGGGTGGCCAAAAAGGATAGAGCCCACTGCTGCAGAAGCAGAAAAAAGTGTGTAGATGTAGCGGTTTTGGGTGGGAAGCCGAGCATAGAGGAGCAAAGATGATGATCACGATCACATGTGTCGGGGTTATAACCCCGGGGTATCTTAGGGCACCGATTAGTTGGCAGGCCACGCGGCCCACAACTCACCAGTCGGCGACGGCCCGAACGACCGAGGCCCGGCAAAAGCCAAGCGGAGCGGGCCAGATGCCAAGGCCGGGGTCATCCCCGACCCCTTCCACCCGCCTTAGCCACACAGCGCTCGAAAGGCGCACGACCTCTCCCCATCACGACCCCCGGAAGGGATGAGGGAGGTCGGGCACAGCTAAGTGCGCCTGCTCTGACAAGGGCAAGCACGCCACACCGACCTCGCAAGGACCGAGGGGACAGCGGTCACCTCGGCCTAGTCAGATACCATCCTTGTGCAATGCCGCACCGACGAGACTACACCACACCACGGTGGCAACGAGTACGACACCCATCATCCAAATACGGACCGACTAGATGCTTGTATGATCCCACCCACTACGGGATAGGATCGATGATAAGGGGCTCGACACAAAGGCCACCCCGCTAAGTGACCAAGTGATCGACGATCCAGGGCGACTACCTACTCTGGATACGACGCCCCTGTGAACCAGGAGACGATGACGAAGGCCACGATGGACACCGCGTTGCACAGGACGGCTGATGAACCACCAACAAGGCTACAGTACCGCCATGGCCGGCACAGTGGCACCACGTGACACCCTGCCGCAATGTGGCCAGAAGACCATGACGATAGCCACGACCGGACGTGCACCAGAAGACGGCGTATCTTGTAAGCCAAGTTAGCTAGGTCCTCCCTCAAGCTCTCGACCCTTCGGTCGGGAGAACCACCTCTTTGTACAAGCCCTGGCCCCGAACTCTATATAAGGGCAGCCAGGGCACCCATCTCATGATGACATTCACATCCTCTACCATTCCATTCATTCACCATTGTAGTAGGACCCCTGGAGCTTCTCTTTGGGCGGCCCTTCGCCTAGCATAGGTCCTTCCATCTCTTCCACCCTTCTTGCACCCCCCATTGTAAGAACTTCAGAGCATTCAAGCGAGGAACATGCACTCGATCACCTCTGAGACTGAACGTAGGGCTCCGGCCTATACCAGTATAAATCCTCGTGTCTATTGGATGCTACCATCGTCTTCTTAGAGCAGCACGTCAATCGTATAAGTTTACTAGTCCGGTTTACAAAACACCGACAACATGCGTGGCTCGCTCCCATTTCTAGTCCCCAATACGCTCCAGTGCATGCTGGCTGAGGCATCGAGCGACCGAGAGCAAGATGATGAATAGTGGTGTTTAACATGATGTTTTTTAGTGACTCAATACTTCAAGTAAAAGCTCACGCACATCAATTTGATGGTCTAGCGGTGTGAACATTAACAAGGCAACAAGCCCAAAGGCTCTAACATTAAGATTCTCATGTCCTCTTCTCTCTCCCTAATGTGCTGATTTCACAAAGGATGGACCTAGATGCCTATGGCTAAGGCCCTTTTTGGGTCACCTAGGACTAAAGTTTAATTGGACTAAAGGTTAGGTGGATTACTTTTAATTTAGTGTTGTTTGGATACATGGACTAATAGTAAACTAAAAGCAAAAAGTTTTTCTGGACATGGACTCATGGACATCTTTTAGTCTAAATTTGTCAACTAATGGAGTAATGACTAGTTGCTCATGAAGAAAAGAAAAAATTGTCACAACTAAAATTTTAGGCGACAACTATGAGCATAATGGTCTGCCACTGATCAGGTGCCAGAAGCATCCAAAACAGAGGTAATATTTGTCACAACTAAAAATTTAAGCGAGATCTGCCACTGATCTCGAGAGTGGAGGCATCACATGAGTTGCTCATGCTGTCATGCGTGTGAATCGTGGGAGCTCCTAGACGACCCCCACACATCCTAGGCCTACGAAAGGCCTAGCATGGGGAGCAATGGGTAAGCAGTCCGGCATATATAATCAATCACCTTTTTATTTTCTATTTTTATTTTATTTTCTCTTGTAATCCTTGTGATACGTATTTCTTTCAACAAACCTTTTGTAATACACACATGTGTTCCACAAGTCACTGGTAGAAAGAGATTGTGCCGTAGGTATTTTGGGGACAACGTAAATATGGTTGTGTGCACGTTCATTCAAAACCATCCAATACGTAGAAAGTGGCACGGTTGAAGCGATACACGAATTTTAATGACAATATTTTAACATCAGGAATTATAGAGAGATCTCTTCAAAACATATCCATCATAATGGTGTACGTATCCAATTAGTTGTTCTTTCTCTCCCATTACAAGGGTAGACATATTTGCTAGTCTAGGATAAAGTGGAACTCAGTCGGTGTCGATAAAGGGTTTGTAGCGTTGTATAATTCAATCTCCAACTAACCTACTATGATATGGTCTGTCCTGACCGCGACCAGCAAAATTTGGAGTCATGTTCCGAGCTGCTCACCGCCTCACCGTGCCTAATAATATTATAACAATGTGGCCATTCGTGTTCTCTGCTCCTGTCGGTTTCCACTCCGTTTTGCAAAGACGCCGCGAGTCGCGGCACGGGGTGGATGAGCCAACTGCCTTTTTTTTTCTTTCTTTTCTTTCTTTTTTTTTGGTGCCGTTCGCGCGGCTTTTCCATGGGTGCCGACTAAAGAAACCATTGAAGTCGGCCTGCTTGAGCACTGACAGTCTATTTATTCTAACTTAACCACTGCTTAGCACCGGCGAATCAGCCTGGTCCCTGAACGACAAAGCAGAGTGACAACAAGCTAGTGAGTTTGCAGGGCGGATCAAGGAGTTTCTATGGAGCAAGGAAGCAAGGCGGCGCTCGGGTGGGCTGCGAGGGACGCCTCCGGACACCTCTCCCCTTACAGCTTCTCGAGGTTCTCTCTCTCGCTCCATGCCTAGCTTGCTCTGTTTTATTTCGAACGTAGCAGGACACTGTGGGAGTGGAGCTTGTCAAATCATGCTTCGTGCACTCCTGCACATCAGTTTGATGGGGATGCGACGCTGAGTCACATGGTTTCAGGGTTCTGAGAGACGGCGACGTGACGATCAAGGTGCTCTTCTGCGGGGTCTGCCACACGGACCTCCACATCATCAAGAACGAGTGGGGCAACGCCATGTACCCCGTCGTTCCCGGGTAATTTTGTTCACCAAGCAAGCAAGGACGGATTTATTCAGGGTTTCCATCGAGAGCAAGCCAGCAGCGAATCCTGACCGCATTTCGGTGCAGGCACGAGGTCGTCGGCGTCGTCACGGACGTCGGCCCCGGCGTCACCAAGTTCACGGCCGGCGACACGGTGGGCGTGGGCTACTTCATCGACTCGTGCCGCACCTGCGAGAGCTGCAGCACGGGGCACGAGAACTACTGCCCCAACGTCGTGCTCGCCTCCAACGGCGTAGACCGCGACGGCGTGACGACCACGCAGGGTGGCTTCTCCGACGTCGTGGTGGTGGACCAGCACTACGTCGTCAGGATCCCCCCAAGCCTGCCTCTGGACGGCGCCGCGCCGCTGCTCTGCGCCGGCGTCACGGTGTACAGCCCCATGGTGGAGTACGGCCTCAACGTGCCTGGGAAGCGCCTCGGCGTCGTGGGCCTCGGTGGCCTCGGCCACATGGCTGTCAAGTTCGGCAAGGCGTTCGGGATGGCGGTCACGGTGATCAGCTCGTCCCCTGCCAAGCGTGATGAGGCGATCGAGCGCCTTGGCGCCGATGAGTTCTTGGTCAGCCGCGACACCGAGCAGATGAAGGTAACAGCGAGCTCAAGTTCAGGTCCTGTGACCGTCGATTGCTGCCATGGCAGATGACTGACGCGATGTTATGTGTACGCAGGCGGCGGCAGGCAGGATGGACGGCATCATTGACACGGTGTCGGCGTGGCACCCGCTCGCCCCGCTGCTCGAGCTTCTGAAGCCCATGGGGCAGATGGTGCTCGTGGGAGTGCCCAGCAAGCCGCTGGAGCTGCCAGCCTTCGCCGTCTGTCCGAGCGGGAAGCGCGTGGCCGGGAACGGCGTGGGCAGCGTCGGCGACTGCCAGGCGATGCTGGACTTCGCGGGGCAGCACGGCATCACCGCGGACATCGAGCTCGTTAGGATGGACTACGTCAACACGGCCATCGAGCGGCTAGAGAGGAACGACGTCAGGTACCGGTTCGTCGTTGATGTCGCTGGCAGTCTGGGCCCCGCTGCTTAGGCGGCAGAATACGCTGCCTGCTTCTTCTTGTGTACCAGTCGGGGGAATAATTATACAGTGCACTGCCGTGGTGTATTGTAACACTACCAAACAAAGTTCCTAGTGCACGAGATCTGATGATCCGCTTATTATATCTTCTCCATCCAAGTTTTCCTATCGATTAGTTAGGGCTCGTACCACGCTCATGATACGTTGTCTCTAAGTTGACCGATCAATTTTTTTTTCCACATGACATCAGGGTTATTAAAATGCGCTTGGTTCTGCTGGCGCCGCACGATTCGAAGCCTAGGTGGCCATTCTACGCTTCGACACTTAATCGGCACGTCTAGCAGAAAGGCCTCTAATTTCTTAAAAATCAACCTGTAGTACACATGATTTTTTTATTTTTAATCAATATTTTAATAATAACCGTTGCCAAAATGATATTGCAAAAACTAACCCTTTTGGTCGTGGCAGCGCGAGTGGCACGACAATATACTGTCGCGCCATATGCACTGGCACGATAAGGGCGTCCACCGTGGCATGCTTTGTTGACCTCATCCTCCGAGGCGGACGTGGTTCCACCTTGTCGCGCCATCAACTCGTGTGCGACGGCGGGCTCGTCGTGCCGGGCCTTGCCTCTGCTCCTGTGCCCAACTTGCTACCATGCGGGCCTGCCCACCTCCGCCCTAGCTGGGTACGCCGGCGGCTGGGCTCTGCTGGGCATACGCACGCTGCGTCGTTGGTGCCTGCAGCTGTGGGGTGCACCGCCCTGCTAGGCCTAGTCGACAGCTGGTGGGCGGTTGGGCGCATCGGCCCTTGCGGCCTTGATAGGCAGCGGCCAGGCGCCTGCGCCTGGACGGGTAGCGGCCAAGATGCTATCACGGTCTCGCGCCAGCTGTTGGGTGGGTGGGGAAACGAGAGAGAGAGAGAGAGAGAGAGAGAGAGAGAGAGAGAGAGAGAGGAGGGGGGCTAAGGGAGAGGGACCGAGGATTTGGAGAGTTATATACCTAGTGTTACTAGATGGGCTACTAGTGGGCTGATTTGCTTTGGGGCCCAATGGTGATTCGCATGGAAAAAAAATGCATCATCTGCACTAATCCTGCTACCATTTGGATATCCGAACCCGAAAATCCGTGGGTGAAAACGGAACCCACAACCAAAACTGCTAGACCCGAAATTCATGGATATCCGACCCGAAACCAATCCACTGTCATTCCTGTCTATCAACAAACATTTGGACAACCCCATTAAGTAATGGACATTCACTTTGCATACAAGCCCAGCGAAGGCAACAGTACCCTGTCTTCCTCTTATTTTTTTCACTTGTACATCGAACTATTACAGCCACAAAACCACGACAAAGCACCAACTCATCAACAAGCTTCGACCATCATTGGGTAGCTAATAAATTATTGGGGCTCAGATTTAAACTTTTCAACCATGCCTAGGCGGCAGAGCCGAGGCTGCCGGCGACGTCGATGACGAAGCGGTAGCGGACGTCGTTCTTCTCGAGCCGCTCAATCGCCGTGTTGACGTAGTCCATCTTGATCACCTCCACCTCGGCGCCGATGCCGTGCTTCCCCGCGAACTCCAGCATGGCCTGGCAGTCCCCGACACTGCCGACATTGCTCCCAACCACGCCCTTCCCACCCGGCACGAAGGCGTACGCCGGCAGCTCCAGCGGCTTGCTCGGCCCGCCCACGATCACCATCTCCCCCAACGGCTTCAGCAGCGCAAGCAGCGGCGTGATCGGGTGCCACGCCGACACCGTATCGATGATGCCGTCCATCGTCCCCGTCGCCGCCTGCTCAGCTCACATATATCAGGAGGAGAGGAGGTCCCCGCGTTAGTTACAGATTCCAATCACAATCAGCAGTGCCCGTGGCGAAGGGCCAGGCCAGATGTGACGGCACACCTTCATCTGCTCCGGGTCCCGGCTGATCAAGAACTCGTCGGCGCCGAGGTTCTCGATGGCCTCCTGGCGCTTGCTCGCGGACGTGCTGATGACGGTGACCTTCATCCCGAACGCCTTGCCGAACTTAACGGCGACGTGGCCGAGGCCGCCGAGCCCCACGACGCCGAGGTGCTTACCGGGCTCGTTGAGGCCGTGGCGCATCATGGGGCTGTACACGGTGACGCCGGCGCAGAGCAGCGGCGCGGTGCGGTCCAGCGCCAGGCCGTCCGGGACGCGGACCACGTAGTGCTCGTTCACGACGATGACGTCGGAGAAGCCCCCCTTGGTGGGCACGCCGCCGTGCGCGTGGTCGACGCCGTTGGAGGTGGGCACGACCCCGGCGCAGTAGTTCTCGTTCCCCTTCCCGCAGCTGTCGCAGGAGCGGCAGGAGCCGACGAAGTAGCCCACGCCGACCGTGTCGCCGGCCTTGAACCGCGTGACGCCGCCGCCGACGCCGGTCACCACGCCGACGATCTCGTGCCTGCGCGCGCCGCGGCAACCAACGGGTCGTCAAAGGACATTACCATTGCCGTTGCGTCTAGCAAATCATTTGCAACATTCGGCCGCGAATTCGACGATTACCCGGGGACGACAGGGTACATGGCGTTTCCCCAGTCGTTCTTGATGATGTGGAGGTCGGTGTGGCAGATTCCGCAGTAGAGCACCTTGATCGTGACATCGTCGTCTTTAGGAACCCTGAAATTGGAACCAGTGAAATGGATTCCATGAACTGAGGTAAGTTACTCTGCAAGGAAGAACTCTGAACATTTGTTATACTCCACATATAACATCGTCTATCAGCCGATACCAAGTTCAGTATATAAAGTAGAAAGGGGCAGCTAGCTCTAGCTGCCTCAAAGTTCACCCAAATTCTATACGCGTAACGAATTTTGTTCTCTCTTTTCTCCTCCAGACTTTAACTTAAAAAAATATATTCTATGTTAGGTAAGCCTCTCATGAAGAAGTAGAATACTCCTAATTTAGAAATCTGAAACTGTGTAGAGAAGGTAAGATTTATTAGACATCTTCCAGGAGCTGCAATTCATACGATATATATGGCAGAACAAAATGAAGCACGAACGAGCAAAGCAGAGTGCTCAACGACAGTGACAGATGTTACCACCTTGTGGAGAAGCTGTAGGGGGAGAGGACGCCGGTGGCATCCCTGGCCGCCCATCCGAACGCCGCCTGGCCGCCTTGCTCCTCCATCGTCACCTGCTCTCGCTTCTCCACGGACGCCCTTGGCCGCGGCAACCGCAGAGCTCTGGAGGACAAGGGTAACCCTGCACTAACTTGGAGCGAGGGAGCAGGGAGCACCAGCTCCGGGGGAGAAGGGCGGGTGAGGAAATGGACCGTGGACGAGGGCGCGACAATGATACGACATAACTGCTGCTCCCGGAGATATCTGTGGAGAGTTTGAGGTGAGGGACCAATGCGTCGGGACTTTGGTGAGCATCTCCGACGGATTAGCAAAAACAAAAAGACCATAAATTTAGCTATTCTCTAAAATAAATTTAATAAAAAAAATACTAGAGTACTCCATCAGACTCGGTAACCCTAGAAACTGTATGGCCGGTGAGGTAGGCTATAAAGTAGTAGAGAGTGAATGAGGGGAAAGAAAGAGCTACTAAATTTATAGAGTCATTTACAGAGTATGTTGGAGGCGTTTTACTTTCAATAATAACCAAATTTATATTTAGAAAAATAATTTGGTTAATCTCTTCGAGATGCTCAACCCTGTCTCTTTGAAAACGACCGTGGCATGGCATCGTATCCAAGGACGCTAGGATATGATCCGGGGACAGATTTCCTACAAACTTCTCCAAGTTCCGTCGATAACAAAATTTTGAACTGGTAGACTGAATTAGTAAATTAAAAAACTGAATTTGTACACAATCTGTTGATTTGCAATGAAGGCAAACTAAAACTAGGATAGTGAAATAGTACCCCACTTCTAGTCATAGGATTCCGTTGTCAAAAACGAAATCGTAGAGTGGCTGCAGAGGAAAAAGAGTGAAGTAAAGCTATATAAATGGACGAGTGAGGTTGTATCCTAGCAACAACACAGGGCCCACACACATGCCAAAGCAGGAACAACCAAAAGCAAGTGTCGGCTTAGTGATCCTGCTATGCTCGTTTTTTCTTTGATTTAAAGCTACTAGGTGCTATAAGCTCGTCTTCTTATTATGAACAGTGATTCACACCTTGATATTTCTGCTGCTGCGTGGCTCTCCTTCGCTGAAAGCTGCATCTGATGTTTGTTTGGGACCCAGCCACCCGGATTCAAAGGGTCCCGTCCCTGTCACGCCTCGTGATTTTGGTTGCGGGGGCGGGACCAGACAAGCCCTGATCCAGTAGACAGTGGTACTATTGGACTATTTATAGCACTATATATGTTTTTTTAATATTTTATTAGTAACCGGAGAAAATAAGCAATTGAATATTCATAGAAAATGAGAACATGAGCACTATATATCTATTTATGTTTACTTTTAAAGCTACAATGATGCCAATAATATGACAATGTTTTATTAAACCTGTATCAAATTAATGCATGATTTTGTATAGAAAAATGCTTGGACTGATGTGGGAAAAACTGGATGCTTGGACTGATGTGGAAAAAAAATCAGAAAATGCTCATGCAAAAAAAAAAAGAAATTGGAACGCTCGTACGTTTGGACAGGGAAAAAGAAGGGAACTGCTGACAGTCTCACAAAGACATTGGGAAAACAGGAAACGTTCGAACAAAAGTGCTACGACATAGAAAACGCTAGGACGACGCTCAGGCTCGGACATACGGAAATAGGACATAAGCCAAGGCTTCGTACCGATGAGGGAATGCCTAATTTCTGTTCTAATTATCCTTTTTCTATTTAGAATAGATTAGAATTTATATTTTGGTTACTTAGAAGTCTTACTTGTTTCGTAATATGAAACAGGATATAAGAGCTCTAAAACGCAAATACAGACAATTTCAACATTCAAGGAGCTAGTGAAGCATCTCCAGCAGCTCACCAATAATTCATCCCCAATAGAATGGTATTAGTGGTCACCAATAGTGCTT